ATTGACTCTGAAGTTCTCTATGACATCAGTTGTTTTGTGTGACGTCAGTCTGTCAGAGCCAGTGATGTGAACCCATTCATCTCTCACACACGCCCCAGCTGCAGTTTGGAGTATTCTGGCGCCATCTAGTGGATTAAAATTAAATTACATGAGTAATTCTGAGATTATTGAGTGTGATTAGGTTCAGGTGTGTAGCTTTACAATTATCTAAGTATGTAAACAAGGGTGGAATGAGACTTTCTGGTCTGTAAACTATTGCTTTAAGCAGCAATGACAACTGTCTACTTTTTTTTTGTGTGACAAGTGAGCTGTCAATCACAGCCCAGACCACGCCCAACTCTAAGCCCCCCTTCTTGTCCCTTGGTCCTCCAGGCAACGCCCTTTTTAGAGAAAATTTTCAAATCTTCATGTGGGCGGAGTAAGGCTGGGCACAGGTGTTTAGTCGCTCTTTAACAACCTGCTTAATGTTGTTGTCCCATTTCAGATCATTAGACGGATGAACCTAGAAACTTGCACTATTATATGACCTACACAGCCTGCAAATAAAGCGTTGGTCTATTTCTTGGTTAGATTTTATTTCCATTGGTTCAGAGTTTTGTTGACGCACATATTTTGGTGATTTCATGTGTGCTCTCTGACTAAGTTGTCCATTCACACTTTCACTTCAAAGACAGCTACACCCAGGTCACTGTCTGAAGAGAAAGTCTAAAAATAACTGCTAAGGAGTTTACTCAGACGGTCATTAAAAAACTTTATCAGCTGTGAAGCCGTTGCCAAAGATCGGTCAGGTTTTATCGCAGAGGACTGAAAATAGTTGTGTTCTGCCAAACCAATAGTGAGGTATTTGAACCTAGATCTCTGCAGTTGAGTTGGACGAAGCAGATGCGTATTTTATTCCAACCCCCACTCACTCATTGAACACACGACACGAGGATTAAAATACAATTAATGAACATACAGAATACAATGATAATACTGTGGCGTATACAAGACACCATAGTATCCAATCTGTGGCTCGGGAGCTACCAGTGGCTCGCCTGCCCGTTTTAGATAGCTCCCCAAAGGATTCAGGAATTAAACACATGATCCTGAAAGATTCACTTTTGAGTCAACAAAAGTCTATTTTAACTATAAATCGTTCAATTAATGCAGGGATACCATACAGTTTAATTGTACAGTATATGATGCCTGTGTGTTTTCCAAGATTGGCTGTAGTTATGACTACTATTGTATTTCAGCTGCAAAAGGAGTACCTCTCTGCCATTTCAATTTTAAAACAGTAGCTCTCCAATGCAAAAAGGTTAGAGACCCCTGCCATAAGCTTTGAGACACACACAAAAAACCTAAACACACACAACACTGGCCCAAACACTCTGCTTTGACCGAGGGTGTTCCACAGAGTGAGCTGAACAGGCGTCACAAAGCTTAATTCTATATAAGATAAGATATGATAAACTTTATTGATCTCACATTGGATAAATATACTCGTCACATTCGGCATTGATAGAATCACTCAGATTGTGCAAAAAGAAATGAAGTGTGCAACATGTTAAAGGAGCTATACCCGTTCCTGCAAGGTTTTTTTCAGTTTGAATGTTTAGCACCGCCCCCTAACTCACTCACAGGCTTCTCATTTCCCCTACGCTCTCCTCCCTCGAAGCGATCTAGTTTTATTTGTGATCTGATACTGTACGTATGCAAACATTAGCATTAGCGCAACTTCTTGTAAGCTGTCCAACAACCATTGATGAAATGGTACAAAAGCAACGCTTCAGGTGCTTCTAGGAGATCGCAGTGAGCCAAAACTACCTCCTGCTTGACCCCAGGCCTTGTTCTCACCTCTGCAAGACTTAAAACAGGTGGACCGTAAGTGGACCACCCATTTCTTAGTACATGTCATCTGCACTTTGCCGACAGTAGCCTATCTCTGCGCATACACTTAGCGCTCATGACTTTTGGCAGCGTGCTTGGAATTCCACTCTTCAGGCATCATCCCGGGACGTCACACCCAGGTCCAGGTCAGCGCTGGGCTCCAGAGGCTTCATGACGTCCAGGGAGAAGCAGCCCATACTGTCAAAACAATCTTCTGCAATCAACCTACTGCACTCTTAACCTCTCTCCCAAATCCTCTCCCATTCCTCCACGGGACCCTTGTCAGTACATAGATGGATATACTACTGGTTCTTTATCCTCTCTGGTCTCTCTCTGTGGTCTCCCGCTGGTCTCTCTCTTTCCCTAGGCTCACATTTGTCTGTCTGTCTCTCTCTCTCTCTCTCTGGTTTCTCGCTCTGGTCTCTCGCTGTGGTCTCCCTCTGGGCTCTCTGATCTCTCTCTAGACTTTCTTTTGTTTCTCTGTATCTGGTCTCTCTCTATTATCTCTGATCTCACTTGGGTCTCTCTCTGGTCACTTTCTGGTCCCTCTGATCTCTCTGTTCACTCACTGCTCTCTAATCTCTGACTCTCTGCTCTCTCTCTCTCTGGTCTCTTTCTCTGCTGTCTCTCTTTGGTCTTTCTCTCTTGTCTCTCTCTGCTCTCTTTCTGTGGTCACTGGTCTCTCTGTGGTCTCTCTGATCTCTCTCTGGTCTCTCTCTGGTCTCTTTCTAGCTGACTCTCTGATCTCTCTCTCTGGTCTCTCTTTCTGGTATTTCTCTCTGATATCTCTCTGGTCTCTCTCTGGTCTCTTTCTGTGGTCACTGGTCTCTCTGTGGTTTCTCAGTGGTCTCTGGTCTATATTCAACATTAGGACATGTGGTATACTTTGGAATTTTACAAACAATATTAAGGTGTAATTTGAGAGGCAAACACAGCAGTGAGCATTTATGAAAACCAAGTTGGAGACATGTGTATTTAATTACTGTTCCTTTTTTTTATCATTCCTACCTCGTCTTATCATTCTTAACCTTATAAAACAAAGATCTGCACTTTGTCTTTTACCAAATGTTTTCACAGAGAAATCCTAAAAAGGCTAAACATTGCATTCTTAAGGGAAAACCTGGACCAATCTACTGTACAGTTTGTAAGCCCCACATCAATCCAAAAAACCGAGATATAAAACATGGCTTTCCACTTTGATAAAATATAAAAAATCACCAAAAATTTTTACTACAACAACCCTCATGTTTGTTTCAATGGAAATGCTGTTGTCTGTAATAATCCACATTGTGAGATAAAACATCTGTTCAGAGGCCTCTTTTGTCTGCACCTGTGGACTGGTCTCCCCCGGCCCGGACTCATGACCCACATCCTCCTCCTCACCTGAGAGCCTCTTTAGTCCCATACCGCAGAGCTTCAGTCCTCATTCTACAGCTGGAGTCCTGGTCTGTCCTTTCACTGGAGCGGATTCCTCTCTCAATGTGGGCCTATTTTTCCAATGATTCTTGTTGTTATTGTTCCTTGCAGATACAGGAGGGTCAAAGGACAGTGATGATTTGGGACCTTTAATAAAACCGCTCCCTATGGACCAATGGCTACTATGTGGTTGTCATTATTGTATTTCCATGCTAGAACTGTTTGATTGGTTGTTGGTGAACTGACGACCTAGTCTTTTGAGATGGCTTTGTGATTTATGGCTGTAAAAATACATTAAATTGACTGGAATGCTGCATACCCAGAACTGAGACTGCTTATTTCCCAGTAACTTTCCCAAAAAGTTACCTCAGCTGGTCATCTAAGATTTAAAAATCAGTGAATAGATAGTTGAAGGGGAGACAGTGGCTGGCGTTTCCTCAGTCTTACGGCTGAAAGAGCCACTGTGTACTGGGTGTGGCTCAAGACATGAAGAAGTCAGTGTGAAAACTATCACTGCATCGGACAAAATTCCTCCAAACTCTCTGTGCACTGGGTCAATATTTGCACAACTCAATTCAAACTGAATCATATTTTATCCATTCACCTGTTGCCATAGAAATATGTCTCTTTCAGTTCAGTGAAGGGACACCATTTATTGCAGCTGTTTGGAGAAATCAAAGCCTGTCCACAATAGAAATAAATGAAGCTTATATATGAATGTCTGAACATGCAAATGTCTTTGAGCGAAAAAGGTCCAGGGTTCAATTCCATCTCCAGGTGTCTGCGTAGGTTTCTTTTGGTTGCTCCGGTTTCCTCTGGTTTCCTCTACCACTAAAAACATGTACAATAGTCCCCTGGTTAAATAAAGGGCAATACGTTTGTGTGGCATGGTTAACCATTGTTTTATATTGCATTAATCAGTGGCACCACGTTTTAAAATCTTGTTATACTAATTGTAAAACAGTGGTTCATCATGAGAGTTACAGCAGATGTGATTCAGGTCTATGAGTAACTAACACAAAAGAAAAGTGTTTTGTGTCAACAAAATATACGGCCACCCATCTTCTCCCCTCTGTAACTGGCAGGAAGCGAATGCATTTCAAAATTCCCGGCATCACACCCATGTCCACGTGACCCACGCCCCTGACACGTTGAACCAATAGGTCATGGCTGTATATTCCCCGATGCTTGACGTTCAGTGCATTCAGTGGTAGGATTAGGACGAGCTTCCAAATGATCAGTTCAGATAGTATGGCACCGAGGGCCAATTTTTGTGTAAATAAATAAATAGAATGATTGTAATGTATTAAATTCAATTCATTTGTGTATATCACTAAAATCAAAACAGCAGCCATCTCTCAGGGCTGTACAAAGTTGTCAGTTCCTCACCAACAGATCAGAGAATCAAACAGTTCAAACACAGGAAATACAATAATAACACATTGGTCATAGGGAGCGGGACAACCACTGTCCAGAAATGTTTTACATATTCTAACATATTCTACCTTGATCTTTTTCAGCGTCTGAATCAAATGTCTCTCTCTCTTTCTTTTTCTCTCTCTCTTTCTTTTTTTCTCTCTCTCTCTCTCTCTCTCTCTCTCTCTCTCTAAAGATGCGAGGTTGACTGCAGAGCTCCACACTTCTTATTGTATCGCGAGAATAGAGGGCGGAATAGAAAAAAAAGTGATCGTGTAAAGTAGATCGGAGCAGGGATGAGGAAAGAGCTGAGAACGAAGCAGGAGCACACATCTCCCGCTCCTCTGACCCGTCTGCGCAAAGTCAACACGCCTCAAAACGGTACCATGCGCGCCTATTTATAGCATCTTCACCAGGGGACTTTTCAGACACTTTTTTTTTTTATCACTTTTGTCCAACTTTGATCATTTTTATTTTGTATCTAAGTGATTTGAAGGGGGCTGAAGTAGATCTCCTGTTTTGGAGGTAAGTGAGGTTTTATTACAGAACTTCTTTCCACAGTTTTTCCTCTGTACTTATACGTGCATCTGTTTTCATGTCTGTTCCATGTGCAAGCTTTGACTCCAGGCTGCAGAGAGGGGGAAGTAGACGGGGAGAAGTGTTTTTTTTTGTGCAAGCGCTGGATTTGCAAGATTTGGATATAATGAGGCGAAGTGCGTGGAGTCGGACGCGGCTGGTTTTGGCGCTGGTGGTGCTCGGGTGCGCGCAGGTCGGACGCGCGGCAGAAGAAGCGGGCCACGCCGAGGACGCTCCTGAGGTCGTGGGTCTCCTGAGGGTGGACACTCCAGAGCCCGAGCAGGGGACCAAGCAGCCCATAGTGGACTCAAGGGCCAGCAGAGCCAAGAGGCGAGGCGGCACGGATGTCCTGAGAGGGTAACGTGACACCAATATTCAATTCAATGTATTTTTTTGGTGAAGCACTAAATCACAACAGCGGTCGTCACGGTGGGATTGTACAAAGTTGTAAAGTTTTCAACAACAGTTGTAATGATAACACACTTATTGGAGCCTATGGGAGAGAGAGAGGGATGACCACTATCCATAAATTTTAATACATGTTAATAAATTCAATAATTAATCCATTCATCCATTAATGTCCTGGATCATCACTGTCCTTAATAGACTAGACCTTTTGCACACGTATTTCTATGAAATCAAATGGCACACCACCAGCTGAGAAGGATACAAAAAAATGATACAGATAAGATAGACTTTGTTGATCTCACACAGGAGCCACCTTCGAGAACATAAGTCATTCTTATCAAAGTGCTTTATATAGAAAATCAAACAAACCCAAACATATATTTCTTATTGTTTCATATGCTTTTATTTTCACATTGTTTTGACAAATTGGTTCACATTGAATCTTTTCCAAAAGACACACCAACTAAAAAAGATCCCAAAGCACTTGCCACTGCCCAGTGGTCGAAAAATACTGTCCTTAGACCCTATACTGCATCAGCAAGGAAAGATTTGGAAAAGCAATAAAAATGTGAAAAATATAGGGGAGACCCATATTGTGGCATCTGCTCTCAGGGACAGACAGGCTGTAGATCCAGGACTCAGGCTGTAGAACGAAGACTCACTCTGCACTTCTGTCTTGTCAAGTTGTGCTTTTACATAAAACAGGTGTGTGTCTCAGTCTGGGGACTTAAAGCTGGGCTACCTAACTTTCAGACCACACATATAAGTAATCCTCGCAGCAGTTTGCTTCTAACACTAGTTTTCACATGCATGTATTATTGGCCTCGGTCACATCTTTAGATCAGCTTTTTCAGTGATAAAAGACAGCACCAGCCCTCTCTCAGCCAATCAGCTCTCAGTATATAAATGATTAAAAGTCTCCTGTTGTGGTCTGATTTTTATTTGAATGAGATTTTTTTGTTGGAACAAGGAATATTTTAATGTTCAGCTCTAATATGGCATTGTCCTGTTATTGTGGCTGCTCAAAAATGTCTGTTTCACTTACCACATATCCCCGCCCACTCTTGCGCTTAATCCAAGTAGGCTATTAAGCTGTTTAGTGCCCGCCCACCTCGCAGTTACTGAAGTAAAAATCACACTTGTTTTCTCCATAAAGATTCTGAAAGAAATATAATGTAAATGTTTATAAGTCTCTCTAACGTTCTCTGGGCTACTGAACTTCCATGGGGAATTATAAGCATTGTAATTAAAATGTGAAGCTTTGGGGGGTGTGTGTGCGTGTGTGCATGTGTTTGTGTCTGTCTGTGTGCGTGTGTTTGTCTGTGTCCCTGTATCTTTCTCTTTGTGTGCGTGTCTGCTTGTATATTTTTTGTGGTAGTATTGTGGAAAAACATCTTTATATAGCCGACATATGGAGCTGAAATGTTGAGTGAACATTATGGAAGACCCCTTCAAAGTGCTGAGATGATCTGTGGGGTTGGCGGGGTATGCGCTCTCCGAGTGGCAAGTTCTCAATCTACACTTAATCTGTCTTGCAGAAGAAAACTAAAGTTGTCAAATCCAGGTTGTGCTGAAACAGGGCTGTGGGTGTGTGAGGCGGAAAATCAAATTATCCAAATTTGGAAAAAACACACATTCATTTATACAATTCTGGGCATCTCTGCTTTGACAGCTGTCCTGAACCCGGCAACGAATAAAGCGGAAGAAAATTGATAGATGGATGGATACAAATTGGCTGTAAGCACTGGCCAAAAAAGAACAGCAGGGCATATTGCCATATCGCCATGGAAACCCTACTTTTGCCTGACCTAAGATCTTTCATAGCACATATATGAAAGTGTACCTGAGCTCCTCGAATCACACCTGATCATGTTTATTGTCTTGAACTTTTGAGTCTGATAAATTACCTAAACAGCATTCAAATCAATGGAATACTGAAAAAAAATCAGTTTTAGTTTTTCACTACTTTTATTAAAATGGAGAAATATAGAGAGTTTTTATCTGAAATAAGTCCTGATGCTAACTGCTGTCAAGTAAAGAGTGTTTTGCTATGGTAACTACAAAACACTCTATACCAATATGACTCCTCTGGGAGTTATGTATATAAAATAAATAAAACATAATTTAATGAACATAATGACAGAGATAAACAACATATAGAAACAGAAAAAGTCACAATGTTATGAATAGCAAAAATCTACATACGCTGAGTATGTATTTACCAAAAGTGTAAGCCGTCAAATTGACTGCTCTGGGAGTTCTAGAGTTAAAGCTCTCTTACACTAAATGCTGTACATAGACTTGTCAACTTTGTGCAAGCTGCTAATCACTGTGTTGATGTCATTTCCAGCCCGTTATTCTACCATTAGCAGCAATAATGCACACATTCTGATGCGTATATGGTACTGTAAAACTGTGTCCAGGCCTCAATTAAAAACTACAGTTTGGGAACCAGCTGCCCCCGACTCGCCGTCCAGTGTTTTCATAATGAACTGTTTGAGACCCGCTAGTGACATTGTCTGGAAATTTTTGGAGCAAAGTTTGGTAATTAAATACTGGCAAGAAAATCACATTCCTGCTCTGTGTGATAATAAATTACATCTAAACAAAGGAGGCCATTGGTCGTGTGTGCGGTGGGGAAGAGGGAGAGAGAGCGAGCGAGAGAGAGGGAGAGGCCAAGACCACCACACCCCAGTTATGGATAAATCACATGCAGAGCTGTGTTGTGTCGGTCAGTGCGAGAGGAAAGCAGCAGCTCAAACTTTGGGAAATCAATCCATCCAACCATTTTCTTCCACTTCATCCATTGCCGGGTTGCGAGGGCAGCAGTTTAAACAGAGACCCCCAGAGATTCCTCTCCACACACACTTCCTCCAGCTCATCTGGGGGAATCTCGAGACGTTCCCAGGCCAGCTGAGAGACACTGTGCCTCCAACTTGTCTTCCCCCGGTCTCCTCCCAGTGGGACATGCATCCAGGAGACATCCCAAACCTATGCCCGAGTCCTCAACTGGCTCTTCTCACCTTTGAGAAGCAGTGGCTCTATTCCGAGCGCTTCTGTGTGACTTTAGCTCCTTACCCTTAGCTCTTTACCCTTTCCCAGCCCAGCCACTCTGTGGAGGAAACTCATGCACAACCACTTGTATCCGCAACCTCATCCTTTTGGTCATTATCCAAAGCTCATGAACAGAGGTGAGGGAGGGGACGGCAATTGAGAGCTTTGTCTTTCGTCTCAGTTTTCTCTTCACACAACAGTCCAATGCAGTGACCGATGAATATGACAATAATAGTGTTGTTGAGTCCTTAGGCAAGACACTTGACCCAAATTGCATAGGACATCCATCCATCCATTTTCTTCCCCTTAATCCATTTCTGGGTTGGGGGGGGGGTGGCAGTCATAGCTGCACCCAGTACACAGTACACAGAGCACCAGCCCCTCACTGATCCTCCTGCAGGTGGTGAGTCCACAGGAGCCTTGATCTTTCAGCAGAGGCTTCATAGGAATGAGTCTGAAATGTGTGTGGATGGTTGTTGGTGGTGGGAGAGGCCAATGACACATACCAGTTGCCTACCGAATGAATAATGACATATGAAGAATCTTTGATTGTCCAAGACACTTTGTATTAAAGCAGATTCTTTATTATTTATTATTAAAGGGGCAATTAGAATTTGCAGTTGAATTGGAAGAATTTAGACACACAAAATGTCCTGGGCAAGACACTTAACCCCACATTGCCTGAAGCTCCCGCTGAAACACCAAGGCTGTGGCACCACTGATGTTGCAGCCATCTTCCTGTGGACTCACCACCTGCAGAGGATCAGCCAGGGACTGGTGCTTTGAGCATTGGGTGGCCGACCCAGAGATTTACTAAAAGAAGGTGCAGAAAATTAACAAATGAATGAATGGAAGAATTTGAAAATGACTTCAATGGCCTCTCACCTTCAGTGACCCAGATATGGATTAAATGGATGGATTCAATACAAAAAACCTTATTTCAACTTGCTTCTTGCTCAGATTTGATCATAATTTATTTGATGTGTGAGCTATATGTGCTGTGGGCTGTGGTCTACAGAACTGAATATCTCAAGGCACAACCCTGAGTCTTTTTTTTTCAGTTTAGTCTTTTATTGAAAGGGACCGTGCACAGCAACCTTAAGCTCAAAGACAGATATGTTAAATAACTACACAGCTAGTTTCCATCTCCAGTCTCCGGTTACATAAAAAAATGACAGCAGCCTCCTCATGAGAAAGGCTGGAATAGTAATGTAATGCCATACTGGGGAACGGCAATAACATTTAGATGGACCAAGGCAGAACCTGCACCAGGAATGTTGTGGAGAACAGCTTTAACATTGAACTCTGTGACTTTCCAAGCATTTTCTCATCATCTCAAGATCAATTCATTTAATCATGTATTGATCTTAAAAAAAAACATGCATTCTCACTGAGAGCGCTGTCGTCTCCGCTCATCTGCTATCTCCATGAAGTTTAGCATTTACGGCACTTACATTAGGATTGTGTCGACTCCAGTCACATACTGTAGCCAGTGGCGGAAACAAGCCAAAATGAACATGTCAGGGAAAAGAAAAACTATTAAGACACGGTAAAAGTGCATTGGAATAAGTCATAGGAAGTGCATAGGAAAGTGAGGGACAGAGGAAGCAGAGCAGAGCCAGCATCTGTGTCCGGTGGTGACAGGGAAGAACAGCTGATGGAGGTCGTCCCATCCACAGCTTGCGCTTTATTGGACAGACTTTAACTTCATTTAGAGCAAACATCTGGTTCAGGGGCAGTACACAGACTAAGCACTGTATCAGACCAGCCCACAGGGAGAGACCCAAGACTAAAACATGCACAGAAAGATTCCACACTGAACATCCCTGCTGACTTCTGGGACTCTCTTTAATCTTGGTATTTGTCCCGGACAAAGAAAGATGGTTTTGTTTGCAATTATTGTTTGTTCCTAGCTATGTTTTCTCCTAAACTGAGTTGTAACAAAAGTCAAAAGTACTCAAGGTTTTTATCTGTTTATCAATCTACAGTATAGCCATAAAGGGTGACTATGGAATATGTTCCGATCACACATTTGTCCACATTCACACCTCTAGAACCCTGCAAAGTTGTACAAACAAGAAATACTCAAAAAGATAAACTGGACTGGAGGCTGAGGCAAAACTATCAATTGACAAATCCTGGATCAAAAAAAAAAAAATGGATGATGAAGATGAGAGGCTGCAGGTGTGTAGTGGGTTGAACCAATGACAGGATTAGGGGTCCAGACACTCCGCCCAGCTCCAGGCAGACACAGAGGAGAGGGGGAGGACACACGGGAACCAGAACTCTCACAGAGTGCTCTAAATGAAGCTGTATAGTTTTATTTTTTCACAAAATACTGGAGATCATTAGCATTGAGTTAATAGTGTAATAATATTATGTAACTGTATCCGCTTGCTGGGTTTTTGAGTTTTTATAGCCTATAGTAGGGTCTAGAGATAGGGGACTATTCAGAACTTTTTTGTTGCTGCCACATTTGCATGGTATGGTGTTGGATTGATGACAGGGATTGTATTTATACTTTTGCTTCATCCAACCCCTATATTAATGTTGTCAGAGGGTGAAAAACAAAAAAACAAAACCAATATGAGGCACTGCATGTGTATGACAATTTTATGAAAACAAAACAAAATTCTGGTTAAAAATCAACAAAAAACTCCAAACTAAAAACAGTTACAAGATGTGGGGAAAGACCATGTGAAATACAAGAGGGAAGGGCTGCCGATCACAGGAACAGGAAATTAAACTCAAAGTACTCGGGTCAACCAAAAAAATAAAAATAAATGTTTGTGAATGGTTGGTGGTGGTGGGAGTGGCCCATGTCACAGACTGGTTGCTTCTCTTCTGTCAATATGTCCCCTTGGCAGTTGTGGCTACAGTTGCCTAATGTTCCTCGAGGTATTCCCTGATGTTTCCCATCACAGTACTAACCAGGCCTTGCCCTGTATAGCTTTGTTGGTCTCAAGCATAGACTGTATATATTAACGGACAGTCACGCCTATCTCCGCCGTTCTAACTAATGGGCCAAATAATGTGCTCTACTGGAGCTATCCAAAATGGCCGCGAGTGGTCCCGCCCACAAGAAAATTGGGAAAAAACGCATCTGTGCATGCGTCAGCCGGCGCAACTCCATTCATTTGAACGAGAGACTTCAAAAATTCACAGCAAGTAAACTAGAGTGGTCCAAAAAAAATCACCCCCGTCAGCATTGACACACATGTGGAACGGAGCTTTGGGCCAAGAGCCAACTTTTGGTCCATCCTGTAAAGACGTTTTTGAGAGGTCTGCCAATGCTAAATTCTTCTGGGTCCACCCCCATCGGCCCGGAGTGGTATTGCAAGCATGTCAGCGCACGTCATTTTGGCCACTTTTGAGCTGGGACCCGCCCCCACTGGTCTCAAGGGTCCAAGGATCTGGCTTTTGCATGCAGGCCTGACCGAGATATTGTTGGTCTCATCTCAACAATTCCTATTTGAAATGTTCAAATTCCCAAAATCCATGAACATATAACTTTATAGCTGCAAAATAGACAAATTAAGATTAAGATGAAATAATATGTATTCTGACATAGTGTTTTTAGGTCCTAATAACAAACTGTGTGCTTGCATTTCCACAACCCTGACTTGTATTTGTCTTAGAAAAGCATCTCCCATCAAAATGTCCCATTGATATGTTCAGTTTTTAATCAGAAAATGCTTTGTATCTGTGTCTCTTTCAGTAATTCCAAGATGAACATGTGTAAACTGTAAAATTGTTCTGTTTCCTTCAACAGTCCCAATGTTTGTGGCTCGAGGAACAACGCCTACTGCTGTCCCGGATGGAAGACTCTGACCGGAGGAAACCAGTGCATTGTCCGTGAGTGACATCTGACATTATCTCGCTTTCTATTTGTCTACTTCCTTTATGTGTCCTCAGACCTCACTTGGATTAGTGACTGTTGGACAGATGGGTTTGAGAAAGTAGATGGCTTTTGTGTTGAGCTTATTTGTGTTAAGAGGCACAAATAATCACAGTGCATTAAAAGAGTGATTCAGTTGTTTACACAGCTAAACAGAACTGTTCATGGATTTTACCACGAGTAGAAGCCTGTCTCACATTTTCTGGAAGACACGGAGAGAAAGATCCACCCCTATGGACGGACAGGCTGTAGATCCAGGACTCAGGCTGTAGAACGAGGACCTGTGCGGTTCAGGATTGAAGAGGCCCCCAGGCGGGGAGGGGATGCAGCTCTCTAAACCTTCTGTCTCTAAATAACGTCTAGAAAAATGGAACAAATGGAAATGTTTGTGTATTTTGTTTTAAAATGACATCATTTACTATTTTCATTCTGTTACAATTATGACCAAATAATCCCTAATTACATACCTGGACCAACAGAGTACTAGCTCACTACAAAATGAACTATTATTATACCGCTGCCCATTGGCTTACTTTTGACCAGTTTTGGTTCGAGTCCAGGTCTTCGATGCACGCCTTCCCTCTATTCTTTCTTTCTATCCAAAGCTTTTCCGGGCGCTTGGGGTTTATCTGGTAACGGTTAAAAAGGGCAGTAAAGACCATAAGTTGACACGGACGGGAAGTAACTCAAGATATTGGTCTCCTCCTAGAGTTCATGGTCCAAATGTAGCGGAAAATCATCTGCCACAATGTTGGTTTATGGTTCATGTGCATGTACTGCGTCCCGGGTTACGGGGCCTCGAAGACAGTCAGGGGTTAAGACAGGAAAAGTAAATCACACTATTGTTTATTGAATCTATGAATATGTCATTGTTACTGGAAGTATAATGTCTTCCTTCCACTGTGTATACAATTGACTGACCTTTCAACTTATTTCATGCTGCTGTAACATATTTAGAGCGAAAGGAATTAACCAAGAACTTTATACCAAGCATGAAATGCCAAGGGATACAGTTTCATCATCTGTTAGTATCATAACAAGGAAAAAAATATTATATTTGGGTGCTTTTCTAGTATTTAAGTAAATATCTGTTACTTATTATTACTTAATTGTGAAGATAACTTTAGGAGTGAAACAAGTAACAGACAATTGTGAAGTGAAAGTAGGCCAGGCAAGGCAAGGGTTGTGTAGCACAACGCATACACAAGGCAACTCAAAGAGCAGAATACAACACAGACACAAACACACAATGTATTAAAATCATAATGGCTCACCAGCTTTAGAAGAAGAAAAATGTATGAGACAAGATTGAATGAGCCACAGATCTCTGATTTCCACTTGTAGATGCCATTAAAATCACCAACACTATACAACACTCATTAGCCAATATTGTTAAGAAATATTGATGCATCATTATAATTTTGCTAATTAGCGCCTCTCCACTGAAAGCAGTCAAACCAACAAAACAAATGGGAATGCTATGAACCGAAGCGAACCAAGATGGCGGACATAAAGTCCGTGAATTGCCTTAAAAGTTTAAATACGAAAAACATTAAGACACAGATGTCACTTTTAATGCAATTTGAGGCGAGTGATATGATAATTAGTGATCGATGTTTCCAGTTTGTGAAATGTGGGTTTTAATGATCAAAGTTTTGTGTAAAGTTTGGTTTAAGTAGTGAACTGCTGTCGAACCACACAGCTGCTGTGATAACAGTCGTCTTATCGAGTTGAACTGCCGCATACGTCATTTTACTGACGTAGTCCTGTGGCTAACTCGACAGCTGTTAGCTTACTACTTCAACCAAACTTTACACAAAACTTTTACTCTTTAAACACACATATCACAACATGGAACCATCGACATCTCGCCTCAAATTACATTAAAAGTGACATCCGTGTCTTTATTTGTTCGTATTTAAACTTTTAAAGCAATTCACAGCCTTTATGTCTGCCATCTTGGTTTGCTTCTGCTGCCGTGAGAAGCGCATGTGCAGGTTTGCATTACATCGTAAACAGCTGAGGGAGTGTCTCTCGACAAGGTCAGCGTTTTTTATGTAGCACCTTTTCAACAATAAAATGTGAAAATTGGCTGACTATTTCAAAATCGTGAACCATGCTTTACTTTTATGTGAACCTTCCATATAAAAACTAAATACAATCTTTAGGTTTATGGTTGGAAACATGACAAAATGTTTAAGGTGTATTAATACTTTTGCAATGCACTGTATGCCAAGGGCCCATATGTATACATTTACACTGTATTATTTTACAATTTCCCCGGCTATGTCTGTAGTTTCGAAGGTTGTATAACCCTTTTTTGAGCACTGCTATTTCCTAATCACAGCTATTCTCAAAAGCTGCAATATTCAATATGCAGTGTTGAATATTGAGTGTCAAATCCCTCAAAATGAAAATCTCTCTGAAAATACCCAAAATGCAATGACTTGGCTCCACGATAAGCCAAAAATGTGGTCAAAATCAGTTGTTTCTGTAGTAAATTACATTGCTATTTCAAGGCGATTTTTGTGGCCAATGTCTGGCTGCCTTGTCGAGCTGCAGAGTGTAGCCTTGGGTGATGGGGTCAGTGTTGGCTCTAAACCTGATTTAAACTGTCTGTGGGAAAATCAAACTCAAAACATGCTCACTTGATCATTGATGTATAAGAGAAAGAGAGTATGCATGTTTTCCTTGGCCGACGGAACACAACCTTTTCAGATTGAATGTAGTTGTTGTTGAAAGCTGGACATGCAGTTTTGATGAAGTCAAAGAATTCGAAATAACAATTGGACATCTTGGATTTGGGAAATACAGCTAGACGAGAAGCAGAGATAAAACAAATAATGTATGAGTGGACTGACTTTCAGAAAAATGTTAAATATTTGAGTATATTGCCTTGAAAGAACTGATTTTGACCACATTTTTGGCTTATTGTGGAGCCTAGTCATTGCATTTTTGGTAATTTCAGAGAGATTTTTATTTTGAGGGATTTGACACTCAATATTCAACACTGCACATGGGCTTTTGCAAAAAACATTGTGCAAAAAAGTTAACTTATTTCTAACAGACTCATATAAGTGAGATACATCAAACCTTTGTTATAATGGTGGTAATTTTGCAGTAGTCCCAAAGGACTTCAGAAAGTTGTAAATTCCTCAACAATAGAGAATCAAACAGACCAAACTCAAACACGGGAAATGCAATAATAACAAATTCAAATGAGAAATGTTCTCATGGGGAGCGGGACGAGCACTGTCCCTACATTTTAGCCATTCATAAACTCCGGTCATATATCTTTTCCCTACATGTATCTTCTGGGTCTGCTCCCAGTGTCTGCATTTACATTCATCCCATCCGACCAATCAGCAAGCGGGGGAGGCGGGTGTTGTAGGTAGTGGTCGATGACGTGAAGAGTTTGCGCCAAATTTTCTGGTTGCAGTTTGGGAATGGCGTAGAATACGATACTAAGTAATCCGTTCTGGTTCGACTCCAAATATGAGAATATTTAAACCAGAGCAAGAGGATTGTTTAGCAGTTTTGATTGCTGGCAAAGATTTTGTGGCTCTACTCCCCACAGGCTCTGTTAGTGGCAAAGGAGATGGCTAAAGCTAGGCTAAATGCTAAATGCTAACTGCTCACTCGGGAGCATTACATACGTCCCTGTAAACTCCAATCCAATCGTTTCAATCTGCAAAAGGAGTTAACCCCTCCCACCTGTTAACAGAGCTCAATGGATCAAATTCAGACCTAAGCACGAAATGAAAAATGTACAATGGTGTGGTCAGACCAGGCTAAGGCAGTGCCAGACTGAAGAGGCCGGGGACACAGGTGCAGATAAAAAATCGCATCATTAAATGGGACAGCAAGTGAATAGCATTGAACAACTCCAGCTGAAGCCATACTGATGACAGATACAGCAGGAGAGAGGAGAGGATAGTGCTCAAGTTACCATGACAAACCAGTATTTTTCTGACATAAGGTCGCATTTCCAAGTCATTTTTATAATTGAAATAAATTAATTTGCTCAAAACACAAAGAAATCATCAACCTATTATCCGGCCACACAACTAAATATGACAGCCCCAGTTACTACGATAAGCCAACAATATAGGTTTCCATAGTAACCTATAATACAAATGATACGTCGTTTTAAAGCGAACGACGAGACGAACGCAACTATTGGGTTCTCGGTGATTGACGAGCGCTGACGCGCTCGTCAATCACCTCGCCATCATGAGGTCACCCACCCCCCCCATAGGACCCCATTGATTACACTGTGTAATACAGCAGGAGCAAAGCCATTCAGTGCCTCCGGCACTGTTTTGTCAGTGTCTGGGCACGCGCCGTCGGGCTTGGGGGACGAATGTCCGGCCTTCGCCCGGACATTCGTCCGTAAGACAGTTGAAGGAACCCCCCTTTAATAGGACTTCAATCATTTCACTGTGTACTACAGCAGGAACAAAGCTATTCCATGCCTCCGGCACGGATTTATCAGTGTTTGGGCACGTGCCATCGCGTGCTGGTCACAATCTCCGGGCTGTGCCCGGAGATTGAAATTAAATTGTAATTAAAGCCGAAGCGGCATCTAACGGCCCTCGCCGCACCGCGCACCGAGATGGCGCTGACGCGCCATTTTCCCACTGCCCTGATGGGAGCGACACTGTGTAATTTTACTTTCTATGATTAGTGTTTGTGTTTCTCTATTCAAAAGATATACCTCATTTTCCCCATGTAACACTTGTATCAGTCTGTAGGGGGCGCTAATGCTGATATTTCATGATTCACACTTTCAGTTTACTCAAACCCAAGAGTTAAACAGTCATTTCAAATTGTGTGCAAATCTGACTTTGTATGTGCAAACGGAAGGCATTTATGTTGTAAAACAGCGCCCCCTACAATTTCAATTGTTTAGTCTTATACCAAAGAACACCAAAATAATACACTTTATGCCTGAAAAAAACTTGTGGCAAAGTTTGGTGAGTTTTCGTGTTTGTTCAGTGGGTCAAATATGAGATCAAACAAATAAACCCAAATAACTGTATCCCCATGTGAACCTTTAGTCAGCCTGTAGGGGGCGATAATGGGCCAATGTCATTGTTCACACTGTCATGTGACCTAGGCCCAGGAGTTGAACAACCGAGTCAAGTTTAGTTCAAATCAGAGTTTGTAAATGTGCTCCTGTTTGAACATACAATCTGTGAGTGTGTCCATACAGTCTCCATTGGATAACATGAGATTTTCCGCCTCTCTATGAAAATGACCACACTTTGGGGGTCATTACCAGAAGTAATGATTGTTTTATTATTCTAGCAATTATTACCTTTACCTCAAATAATCGATTCCATTCGACCCATTCACAAAATTTAAAAGTGAAATGCAATCCACACATACCGATCTCCAGGGTACATTTAAATTAAAAGTTACGAGCGGTTGAGCATACATTTTTGCAGGCTAAGTCGTTGAAATAGTTTGTGTAATTGAATTTAATGTGTGTGGACCAGTGGGATACGTGGGTATGACAAATGTAACGGAGAGGAAAGAGATCAGCCGTGAAACAGGAGAGGCAGTGTAGCATGTCCAAAGTGATATTACAGGATTTAGTGAGCAGCTTGGCATGTGTTTTAGTGAATACTTATTTTATTACAATCTCGACTTTGCTGTCTGGAGTCTGGGGAGCAGTTAAAATCAGAGGAGACTCGCAAAGCTATGCATGAAGGCAAGAATTACCCAAAAATGTACTCATTCAGTTCTATTCTCACACTTAACACTATTTCTCCTATTGGCCCCGGTGCGTCTACCTGGTTTAAGGCAAGACAAGGCAAGTTTATTTGTATAACACATTTCATACAGTTTCAAACTGCTTTAATAAAACAAAGAAATAAGAAATAATCAAAATGCCTAAAACCAAGGCCCTAAACTCATAAACAATCACAGTATATTCAAAAAAGTGAAAATACAATCTTTCTATTGTATGCACAGCAAAACAGAACTGTTTTTAACCAGGATTTGAACATGTATAAGCTTGTTCTAGATTTTAGCTGCATGAATCTGAAACACTGTCTCCATTGTCCCTCAAATTGGAATGATCCCAATGTTTCTATTTTGATATTTTCTTTGTATCCTGATAAGAGACAAACAAGGATTGAGGTCAGGTGCCTTCCTTTACCGTGACACTCCATCTTAGATTAGATTATATTTAACTTTATTTTCATTACAATGCAATGTTTGAATGTTTAGCACCGCCCCCCAACTCGCTCACGGGCTTCTCATTTCCCCCTACGCTCTCCTCCCACGGAGCCACCTAGTTTTATTTGCGATCTGATACATATGCTAACATTAGCATTAGCACAACTTCTCGTAAGCCGTGCAACAATCACTGATGAAATGGCACTAAAGCAACGCACTGCTAACACAATATATGAGTAAAAGAATACCGCTAGTTTCACGTCCGAAAGTATTAATTTAAAACACTAGAATATATTCTAATATTTAATTATAATTTGTTATAGAGCTCCTCAAATCAGCCTTCCATTGACTTAAATGCAATTCTTCCGATAATTTTTTCTTGATAACAGAACTCTCAAATCAATAATGACCGCAGCCCCAATGCAATCTCTGTTTGTAATTCAGATGTGTAAAATACTGCCATTACTCTGCAAGTACAAGCTATCAGTGCCTGTCACTACACACTTGTCTGTGTAGAGAAGCTAGCGGAGCGAGCCACGCTCAATAAACAACTACATATCTATCAATCAACACCATTAAACGTTAATCGGACAATACAGTACACATATACATCCTTAACACACATGCACGGACGATTTCAGAATTTGCTGTTTACGTTTTCATGACAAAAATACTGTTTTAATGTGACAAAAAGCGATTGCAAAAAACCCGGAAGTTACCATGAAACAGCTAGCTAGCTTAGCTGTTACCTGCCTAGCACGTCCCGGTGAAACCTTTGGGAGCTAACTATTTTATTTGCAGTCGTTAAATACATTTCGAATTATAAGGGTTGTCTAATATTTGTTCAAATATGTATATATTTTTTATTTTAGAATTATATTCGAATTTTGAAGTCGAAGCCCTGGTGTTAAGCAGCGCTGTAGAGGCTAGAGGACGCAGGCTGTTCGCTTCTTGTTCTGTGAGTGGAGGAGAACGAGCGTCCCGCTAAGGCCCCGACTCCACCGGGCGCGTAAAACGGACGACGGATCCGTCCAAACATGTCCGTTTCATCTCCGTCTCCGTTATCTCCATGAGGGTGAATGGAAGTGGCTCCACTGCCTCCGCATGCGTCCGTTGCACCCTCCGTTGACGGAATACGTCCGACGCACGCACGTCGGACGTATTCCGTCAACGGAGGGTGCAACGGACGCGGACGGACGAAATAGAAACAATCCTATTTGTTCCGTCCGTCGACGCATGTCGGGTCCGTTTTCCATTGAAAATACAATGGAATAATATATTTACCACATTATTAAACATGTATTGATATATGCTGTAGTCCTTGGTTAGAAATATATGACAATGATTATTAACAAACGTGTGTAATGTTTTTCATGTATTAATTTAAATAATTGTTTCCTGATCGTAAATCTACCATTTATTTTTCGCGTAATGTTAATACGCTAATCTTTACATACACCTCGCTCTTTTTTCTCTCGCTCTGTCCCGTCTACCTGCAAGGCGCTCTCTCCTCACCGCCCCGCGCTCCCACACAGACACACACACACACACACACACACACACACACACACACACACACACACACACACACACACACACACACACACACACACACACACACACTCACACACACACACAGAGCTGCACTTATGAGAGACAGATCTCACAACACTGGATATGTTGGAGTTCTTTTCTCTTTTCTCTCTCCCCTTTTTCCAATTGCTTTCAATAAGTTTTGCCTCATCCATCGCGACGTCCTCAATGCTTCAATGCCGTGCTTTGCACTGATCATAGCCACAGCTCATGCACATCACACACCGCTTCTTCTATTTAAAACTATAGCGGCTGCCTGTTGCCTAAAGCCGCGGAGAGGGGAGTTGGGTCCGATAAAAGTGTATCATGCGCTAAATAAGTAGAAAACAAACGAAGAGGCTGGATCATAATAAACGCTGCGGTCACAGACCCAAACACACATGCACGCACACGCCTCCCACCACACACACACACACACTCACACGCGGGCGGTCTCACGTACACGCTCACGCACACATGCACGCCGACAATACATAACTCCTCCATCAGCCAAACATTCATTCATTCACACAATGCCCAAACATGTCTCCGACAAAAACAAAGCAGGCTGATAAACGGACAGCCAGAGTTGCGCACTGCTGCAGCCGGTTTGACCACTAGTCCGATTTACGGACGGCTGACGGACAGCAGCCAACGCGCGTCAACGGAGACGCGCCCGGTGGAGTCCAGGCCTTAAGCCTAGCGTACATCGACAGAGAAACTGGAGACAACTAGTTGCAAGGCGGCTTTTGGCAACTGAGAGGAGATGGTGGGAGATGATCAGTTGCTGAAATCGGTCGATGTGAGCGCTTTTACAACTGGAGATGAACAGTCGGTCTCCAGTTTCAGTCAGTTGCCCGTGTTCTACTTTTCGGCAACTAGTTGTCCTCAGTTTCGGAGATATGACCCGATGTGCGTGCTCCATGCGCCGCTCCGACAACGTGTGTGTATTGCGTGTATTGCGAGCCCGCAACAGTTTATGTCAGAAAACACACTGTAGGTGACGGACAGTTGCTGTCGATGTACGCGCTGTTATTCCCGAGACTGGTCTGCGACTCAGAGTTGCCCGTTTTTGTCAGATTGTCGATGTGTGCGGGGCAGCAACTCATATGCGACGGATATAATCAGTTGCCAGTCCGATGTACGCTAGGCTTAAGACTCTACTCAGCACTTTTCACTGCTTGTAATTCATACACAGCTGAATCAATTACCTCAAGTTTTCAATTAAATTATGTATTATGATACAACTTGTATGTAGTAAAAAGCATTTTTATGAACTACTTAGAAAAAAAAGTACAAGATAATATTTACAACACAGACACATATTTGTGGATTTATATGGAACTGTACAGAGCTGCTACACTGTACATTAAGGACATGATATTTTCTTAATTTCTGGACTTTAAGCCGCTACTTTTTTCTTGTTCTTCAAACCCTGGCCTGTGGCTTATATAGTTTTATTTTGACACTTGTTAATTGTCAAAATAGATGAAGGTGAATAAGTCATGGAAGCTAACGGTGAAGCTGCTAAACACCTTGTCATTAAATCATGTTGTGACCAGTTAAAACAGTTGTTTCTCTGCTAAACTACAACATGAAAACCCGCAGCTTATATTCAAGTGCGGCCTAAATCTGGACAACATTTACTTTCTTTTAAAATGTTGCTGGTGAGGCTGATATATAGGTGCGTCCAGAAAGTTATGTACTCTGTTACACCGCAAAGCTAACAAAAGCCCATTGAAGGAGATTGGCTCCAGCTTACTTTGTTCAAATTGGCCTCTTATGCATTAGACATACACTATGGGGATGTCACCTCTCTGTCAGTCCACTCTGAACACACGTTCTATCATTCTGGTCCTAACCGTCTGTTGTGTTTGTTTGCAGCTATCTGTCGCAGCACCTGTGGAGACGGGTTCTGCTCCAGACCAAACATGTGCACCTGCCCCAACGGTCACATCTCTCCGTCCTGTGGATCCAAGTCCGGTCAGTCCTCCGCCAAATAAAACCCCTCTCACTTCACTGCATCCTGCATTCTTCACCGGGGTGTTGACTTGTTACTCGGCCAAAAAGATAAACGCTTAAGTATAATAACTCAAGTCGTAGGCTCTGTTGAGAGTGTTGGATGGAGTACTCACCTGTCAGGACGTTTCTGCACTAGAGGATGTATAATCTAAAGAAAAACATTTACCGTGCTGTGTTAAACCAGCAGACAATCAACGTGACTCGTGCTAACACAGAACAGATGTGGGGGAATAAAACGTCATGTTCTGCCTCACCCCGACACAAAATCAGGCTCTCTGCAGATACTATGTCACTGTAAGACTTTGAAGACATTCCCTGTTGTTACCAAGGCATGCGACAGTGTAGTACATTCTAATGAACTAAGGAAAACAGCCACATATGTCAACTAAGACCTTCTCCTCAATAATCTGTTCAGAATGCCTTTCAGTTTTCAAATGTTTCTTATATGTGGCTTATTTGACGATATATATTCTATATGCCTCCATCCATCCATCTTAATCAATTTCTAGCATGGCTAGGCGAGTAACAGCTAGGCTAGCTACTTAGTAATGTTAAACTGGATGTTCCTGTTGAAGTCCTGTTGACTCATTTATGATTTTCAATCATAAATGAACATGTCCTAAAACTTTACATATACGTATATAAACTGTATATATAAATGTATATATATATATATATCTATCTATATAATGGGTTTTTCTCCTCCTGCAAATTTCTCAATAATAGTTTTTGTTCAGCTTGATCAAACAAACAATCTTTACTGATCCCATTGCCCTACAGTGTATACATACGAGTAATGGCGTAGTATCAATCTTATAAGGCTAACCCCAACTCCAAACACCTTTTGTTTATTTTTCCAACCAGTTTCCAGCCTTCACTGTGAGAAAAGAGTAATCAGACGTGCAGATCTCTCGGTCTGAGCCAGAAAATCTAATAACAAAACCCCAAAGCATCTGTGGAAGCTGCCCTACATTACGCAGATGATCAATGTTGCAATCACGTTTTTGGATTCAGTGGTCAGTCCCATGGGTTGCGGGGCGTGTGTCTTTTGGCCTCATTCCACTTCCAACATCTCCCCCATGTCCTCATCTGTTTGTTCTCCATAAATGTAAAGGAAATTATATCTGATTTTGACTCGATGTGAATGGGTTTTGTTTTGATTGTTATCCGATGTCTCTCCCCTACTCTCCGCACAGCGCAGACGCAAACATGTAGGAATAATGGGATCTGACTTAATGTACACAATATGGAGTGGACTTAGTTTTGAGTCCTCTCTACTCCCTGCTTGATCAACAATTAGGTTCTAAATGAAAAGAGACATCACTTTAACAATATTCTCATTTACACACCATCCATCCATCCATTTTCTTCCGCTTTATCCGTTGTCGGGTCGCGGGGGCAGCAGTCTAAGCAGAGACGCCCAGACTTCCCTATCCACACACACTTCCTCCAGCTCGTCCGGGGGGACCCCAAGGCGTTCCCAGGCCAGCTGAGAGACATAGTCCCTCCAGCGTGTCCTAGGTCTTCCGCGGGGCCGCCTCCCGGTGGGACGTGCCCGGAACACCTCCCCAGGGAGGCGTCCAGGAGGCATCCGGAACAGATGCCCGAGCCACCTCAACTGGTTCCTCTCAACGTGGAGAAGCAGTGGCTCTACTCCGAGCTCCTCCCGTGTGACTGAGCTCCTCACCCTATCTCTAAGGGAGCGCCCAGCCACTCTGCGGAGGAAGCTCATTTCGACCGCTTGTATCCGCGATCTCGTTCTTTCGGTCATTACCCAAAGCTCATGACCATAGGTGAGGGAGGGAACGAAGATTGACCGGTAAATCGAGAGCTTTGCCTTTCGGCTCAGCTCCCTCTTTACCACAACGGTCCGATACAGCGACCGCATCACTGCGCACGCTGCGCACCGATCCGCCTGTCAATCTCACGCTCCATTCTTCCCTCACTCGTGAACAAGACCCCGAGATACTTGAACTCCTCCACTTGAGGAAGGACCTCTCCACCCACCTGCAGAGGGCAAGGCACCTTTTTCCGGTCGAGCACCATGGCCTCAGATTTGGAGGTGCTGATTCTCATCCCAGCCGCTTCACACTCGGCTGCAAACCGCCCCAGTGCATGTTGCAGGTCCTGGTTCGTTGGAGCCAACAGGACAACATCGTCCGCAAACAGCAGAGATGAAATCCTGTGGTCTCCGAACCGGACCCCCTCCGACCCCTGGCTGCGCCTAGATATTCTGTCCATAAATACAGTGAACAGAACCGGTGACAAAGGGCAGCCCTGTCGGAGGCCAACATTCACCGGGAACAGGTCTGACTTACTGCCGGCAATGCGAACACAGCTCTGGCTCCGGTCATACAGGGATCGAATGGCCCTCAGCAGAGGACCCCCGACCCCGTACTCCCGGAGAACCCCCCAAAGGACACCCCAGGGAACACAGTCGAACGCCTTCTCCAAATCCACAAAACACATGTGGACAGGTTGGGCGAACTCCCATGAACCCTCGAGTATCCGATGGAGAGTATAGAGCTGGTCCAGTGTTCCGCGACCGGGACGAAAACCACACTGCTCCTCCTGGATCCGAGATTCGACCATCGGCCGTAACCTCCTCTCCAGTACCCTGGAGTAGACCTTACCGGGGAGGCTGAGGAGTGTGATCCCACGATAATTGGAACACACCCTCCGGTCCCCCTTCTTGTAGAGAGGGACCACCACCCCGGTCTGCCACTCCATTGGCACTGCCCCCGATCGCCACGCGATGTTGCAGAGACGTGTCAGCCAAGACAGTCCTACAACATCCAGAGACTTTAGATAATCAGGGCGGATCTCATCCACACCCGGAGCCTTGCCACCATGGAGGCTACCAACCACCTTGGTGACCTCAGCCAGGGAGATGGATGTACCCGCCCCAACATCCTCAGCCTCTGCCTCTGTAACAGAGGACGTGACGGGGGGATTGAGGAGAACCTCAAAGTATTCCTTCCACCGCCCGACAATATCCCCAGTCGAGGTCAGCAGCTCTCCACCCGCACCGTACATGGTGTTGGCAAAGAACTGCTTCCCCCTCCTGAGGCGCCGGATGGTTTGCCAGAATCTCTTCGAGGCCGACCGATAGTCATGCTCCATGGACTCTCCGAACTCCTCCCAGTCCCGGGTTTTTGCCTCTGCAACAGCCCGGGCCGCGGCACGCTTGGCCTGCCGGTACTGGACAGCTGCCTCAGGAGTCCCCCGAACCATCATGGCTCGATAGGACTCCTTCTTCAGCCTGACAGCATCCCTTACTGCCGGTGTCCACCACCGGGTTCGGGGGTTGCCGCCGGGACCAGCACCAGAGACCTTGCGACCACAGCTACGAGCCGCCGCATCGGCGATTGAGGCAGAGAACATGGTCCACTCGGACTCCATGTCTCCCTCCTCCGCCGGGACCTGGGAGAAACTCTCCCGGAGGTGCGAGTTGAAAGTCCGTCTGACAGGGGGCTCAGCGAGACGTTCCCAGCAGACCCTCACTATACGCTTGGGTCTGCCAGGTCTGACCGGCTTCTTCCCCTGCCAGCGGATCCAACTCACGACCAGGTGATGATCGGTTGACAGCTCCGCCCCTCTCTTTACCCGAGTGTCCGAGACACGCGGTCGAAGGTCAGATGATACGACAACAAAGTCGATCATCGACCTCCGGCCTAGGGTGTCCTGGTGCCACGTGCACTGGTGGACACCCTTGTGCTCGAACATGGTGTTCGTGATGGACAAACTGTGACTGGCACAGAAGTCCAACAACTGAACACCGCTCGGGTTCAAATCAGGGGGGCCGTTCTTTCCGATCACCCCTCTCCAAGTGTCACTGGCGCCTCCCACATGGGCGTTGAAGTCCCCCAGGAGAATGACGGAGTCCCCGGGCGGTGCACCGTCCAGTACCCCTCCCAAGGACTCCAAGAAGGCCGGGTACTCTGCACTGCTGTTAGGCCCGTAGGCCGTCACAACAATGAGAGACTTGTCCCCCACCCGGAGGCGGAGGGACGCGACCCTCTCATTCACCGGGGAGAACTCCAACACATGGCGGCTGAGATGGGGGGCAATGAGAATGGCCACCCCAGCTCGCCGCCTCTCCCCGCGGGAAACTCCAGAAAAGTGGAGCGTCCAACCCCTCTCAAGGAGTTGGGTTCCAGAGCCCAAGCTGTGTGTGGAGGTGAGGCCGACTATCTCTAGTCGGTATCGCTCAACCTCCCCCACGAGCTCGGGCTCCTTCCCCCCCAGTGAGGTGACGTTCCACGTCCCAAGAGCCAGATGTTGTGTGTGCGGACTGGGTCGCCGAGGTCTCCGCCTTCGACTGCCGCCCAGTCCTCTCAGCACCGCGCCACCACGGACCCCTCTGCAGGTGGTGGGCCCACAGGAGGGACTGCCCACGTCATCCCTTCGGGCTGAGCCCGGCCGGGCCCCGTGGGCTAAGGCCCGGCCACCAGGCGCTCGCATACGAGCCCCGACCCCAGGCCTGGCTCCAGGGTGGGGCCCCGGCTGCGCCATGCCGGGCGACGTCACTGCTCTCGTTATAGTGCGATCCATGGTGGTTTTTGGACTGCGCTTCGTCTGACTCGTCACCTGAGACCTGTCTGCCATGGGAGGCCCTACCAGGGGCATGAAGCCCCAGACAGCATAGCTCCCAGGATCATCCGAGTACTCAAACTCCCCCACCACGTTAAGGTGGCAGTCCAGGGGGGGAGCTGTCATTATGACTGCTTTCATTCAATCAATCATTTACACACTTTTCTTTTTAACTCTAGAACTCCATGAGCAAGCAGTCAATTTGATAGATTTTAGTATTGGAAGTGTAATTCCAAATGCACTCGTGTACATTTTATTCTTCCTAAATTTGTCTGTCTATACTTACTTTTTTTCTATGTGATTATCTTTTACTATCTTTAACTCCATACATTTGAGTGTACAATTCCAATTAAGCCATTTTTGGCCCCTTGGCAACCCACATCTTATGGCAGTCGGGCACTTTTTCTCCAAGATGCTGGTCCTGGACTGGTTCTGAACTGGTTCTGAACGGGTTCTGAACTGGTTCTGAACTGGTTCTGATTCATACATTGGAGACATTGTGGAATTCCAATTTTAGGATGGAAGCAGACCCTCCATCAGCAAGTTGCGAAGTGCACCTTTAGCACCAAGACTATTATTCTGAAACTAGAACTCCCAGAGCTGTCATTATGACTGCTTTCATTCAATCAATCAATCAATCAATCAACGTTTATTTGTAGAGCGCCTTTCCTACACAAGGCAACGCAAAGCGCCTCACAACCCATATAACATCATGCATAAATCATCAAACATTAGAATTTAAGTAAACATAAAAAGACAGATTAAGAGCACAAGATATATAAAATCACACAAGTAGTTAAAAACCGTAAAACATTAAAATCACACAAGGGATTACAATCATAAATAATCATAAATAATCATAGCGCATTAAAAAGATTAAAGATAAAAACAAATATAAAATCATTCACTTGTATGCACAGCTAAAAAGAACTGTTTTCAGTTCAGTTTTAAAAACTGCTAGAGTAGACGCCTGTCTCACATTCTCGGGAAGACGGTTCCAGACTCTAGCAGCATGAATCTGAAACGCAGCCTCCCCATGTCTAGTTCCGACTCTTGGCACTAACAGAAGTCCAGTCCCTGTGCTCCTCAGAGCCCGAGTTGGTTCATATGGCACCAACATGTCGCGGATGTACCCTGGTGCGAGGCCATGGACAGACTTGTACACAAGTAAAGCTACTTTAAAATCTATTCTCTGAGCCACAGGAAGCCAGTGCAGAGACCTGAGGACCGGACTAATGTGGTCATACTTCCTGGTTCTAGTCAGGACTCGAGCTGCAGCATTTTGGATGTACTGCAGCTGTTTTACCGCTTGTTTAGAGAGACCTGTGAACAAGCCATTGCAGTAGTCCAATCGACTGGAGACAAATGCGTGGATAAGAATCTCCAAGTCTGCTTTAGACACAATATTTTTAATTTTAGCAATGTTTCTTAGGTGGAAGTAAGCTGATGATGTCACAGATGATATGTGGCTATTGAAATAACATTCAATTAAATAACTTTAAAATCCCCAACACACTTTTAAGTTTTACGTTTTATTGAGAGTAATTTATATTTTTTCTACCTTTATTCACTTTTAATAAGTGCTAAATCTGGTGAATATAACCTGTTGAAACCTTATCTGTTGCTGTGGTCACTATTACTACTTTCTGGTGGAAAACCAAGTTGTTTACCAAGCAAACAGCTACTGTACATTTCAATTGTACAATCAAATGAATGGAGGTGTCAAAACGGCTGTTCTGGGAGCGAGGTAGAACACTCAGTTTTAAAAAGATGGTTTCATAAACTACATAGATACAGACAGTTATGGAGATCAAAGAGGTACATACGCTGAGCTTGCAAAACTAAAAGCCATCAAGTAGTTCTAGTGTGAAGCTTTTAACCACAATTTTACTTAGTAGATTAGTTGACTTTTTTATGACTGTAGATTACAGTCATAAACAATGACTGTATATTATGATGTTGAAATGAATTTTGATCTAAATTTAGATCTGATGTCTAACCTGCCCCCTCCCACTCTACTGAAAACAAACATATTGTAACTTTCACCTTTAATCTACACGTGTGTAAAATGGTTTGTTTTTCTTGTCATCTGACTTCTGCCTCTCTACTTCCACAGTCCAAAACTGTAACATCCGCTGTATGAACGGAGGGTCGTGCGCCGAGGACCACTGCATGTGTCAGAAGGGCTACATTGGAAACCACTGCGGCCAGCGTAAGTACAGCCCAGAGGAGCCAACACCAAACCGCTCGGCAATTGTGCAATTTTGGTCCCCGATGTCAAATTAACCACCACTAAATTATGGTTTGGGCTTCTGTGCTGTCATTGTGTCCTCAAGTTTAGATAGCGATGTCCGTGTGGGAATTTCAGACCAACTGAGGCTACATCTCTGGGATATTTTCTAAACACACAGCTGTTAAAAAGGTCGCAGGTTTAAAAAGGTATCTGAGAGACTGGGTGTAGGTGCGACCAAAAGAGACCAGAGAAATGGGGGAAAAGGGGATGATATTTAATAAAATATGTACATCAAGGGTCTGTCCGTGCTCTGCCTCCTCCGCTCTCAAAAAAATGCAGCTGATTGCCGAGTCCCGCGAATGAGGGGAAGGTGGGGCCAGGGCACAAGTGGTTTAAAAAAACACCAATTTAGAAACACAAACCATGCAATTAAAAGTATATCATAAAGCAGTTAAAAATGTGGGATTAAAACTCGTGCCTCTGACACTAATTCTGTTTATTCATGAGAAAGAGTTAAAGCTGAGGTACGTAACTTTCAATACGAATCTTTGAACTATGTAATATTCAATTAAATGTAAATAACATATATTTGTGTATAGCCCTAAATCACAACAGCAGTTGTCTCAGAGGACTTTACAAAGTTGTTGATTCCTCAACAACAGATCAAAGAATAAAACACAGAAATGCAATACCAACAAACACATAGGATTGGTGAGCTATCGGGAGCAGGATGACCCCAGTCCTTAAATGTACCGGATCATCACTGTCCTTAGACTCTCCTCCGTCGGCAAGGAATGACTGAAAAAAAACAAAAAACCCTAGTTGGAAAAAAGGGAGAAACCTCAGGGTGGCCCACATTGAGAGAGGGATCCGCTCTCGGACGGACAGGCTAAAGATCTAGGACTTGAGGACTGAGGCTGTGCGGGACTGAGGAGATTGTGAGTCCACAGGAGCTGAGATCTTTCAGTGGGGGCTTCAGGCAAAGTGGGGTTAAGTGTCTTGCCCAAGGACACAACGACAGCAGACATCAGTGGGAGTCAATATTTATTCTAATTACTTTTTAAAGCAATATTTCAAAATATTGCTTTAAAAAGTTCAATATACGATGGAGAGGATCATATTGAATTTTGACTATTTTAAGTCCAAGAACCAAGAGCTCAAATAAGCCTCCATCCATCCATCCATTTTCTACCCTTTAATCCATTTCTGGGTCAGGGGGGTGGCAATCAGAGATGCCACCCAGGTCTCATAGCACCAGCCCCTCACTGACCCTCTGCAGGTGGTGAGTCCACAGGAGGACGGCTGCTCTCTGAGTGTGAGCATAGCCTTGATCTTTCAGTGGGGGCTTTGGGCAAAGTGGGGTTAAGTGTCTTGCCCAAGGACACAACGACAGCAGTCATCAGTGGGAGTCGGTGGAGAAGGTGCAGAGGTGGGAATTGAACCCACGACCTTCTGGCCTTAAGGCCAATGCTCTACCAACTGAGCTACTGTCGCCCCTCAAATAAGCCTCATGAGTGAGAATCTAAAGCCAAATGACAGAGGAGGCAAACCGTCTAGCGACCAAAGAGCCTAACCTGCTTGGTTAGTCATTAGGGCGTTTACCTGGATTTACAAAGATTTTCAAGACAAATGCTAGCAGCTTGGCATTCTCCGTTTATAAACAGACAATGGTTGAAACAGTATTGTTTACAGTCTCAATTGTATTGACATCCTCTTGTATTTTCAGCTGTGTGCGAGAATGGCTGTCAGAATGGAGGACGGTGTGTGGCTCCAAACCGCTGCGTCTGCACCTACGGATTCACCGGCGCTCAGTGCGAGAGAGGTCAGAACGTTTGCACTTACTCCTCATTCACTCTTTACGGTCGTCTCTCTCGATTTACACTTATGTCATATCATAGAACCTTCTAAGGTAATAAATGTTGACCAGGGGTGTCACACCCAGTGGGGGGCGGGTCCCGGCTCAATAGTGGCCAAAATGACGTGCGCTGACATACTTGCAATACCACCCCGGGCCGATGGGGGTGGACCCGGAATAAGAATTAGCCAATGCTAACATATAGCATCTTCTTACATCTCAAAAACACCTTTACAGGATGGTCCAAAAGTTGGCTCTTGACCCAAAGCTCTGTTCCACATGTGTGTCAATGCTGAGGGGGTGAATTTTTTTGGACCAGTCTAGTTTAGTCGTTGTGAATTGTTGAAGTCACTCGTTAAAATGAATGGAGCTTGCGCCGGCTGACGTATGCGCAGATGCGTTTTTTCTTAATTTTCTTGTGGGCGGGACCACTCGCGGCCATTGCGAGGAATGTTTTTTTCGCTTTTCCCACTTTGAATAAGGTTTGTGTAAGCCCTCAGTCGTACAGGGATTAGTCAAAGCAAAGGAAGGTTTCTCACCCATCATCTGTACTTCTTAGCAAGTTTTCCCACTTGCAAGTTTTCCCACTTGCTAAGAAGTACAGATGATGGGTGAGAAACCTTCCTTTGCTTTGAATAAGGTTGTTTATAAAGTCTTTCAACCCTCATATCTGGCACCAGACAGAGCTGCAGGTGCATGTTTGAACATAGATACACATATATATGTCAGGAGCGTTCTGCCAACTCAGCGCAGAATTTTAACGTGTGTCCGTGTACCACCAGAGGCATTTGGCCACAATTCAGACTATACACACTGATGTGATAAGTTCTTCAAAGCTTTTATTCCGAATTTTGGCTTTCTTAAAACACAATTTACCAGTGAACCAAGAACTCTTGTGAATGACTTAAGCAAATAACTTGTATATTTTGTTGAGTTAATTCCACTCAATTCCATTTATTTGTATATAGCCATTTTTGGTAATTTTCTTTTTGAAGTGAAGTGCTTTTTGTTTTCGTTAAGTTGAGTGAGATACCAGAGATGGTGCATTATTGACTATCTTGTCTATACAGTACACTGTCATCATACCTTTCCTCTCCATCAGTCATGTGTTTACTTCTTCACACTTCTAATGGAAGAACATTCCTTGTAGTTACTTTACATTTCCGTGAGTGTAATATTTCTCTTCTTCCACGTCTCTCCTGATCCCACTCCTTCTCTCACGTCACACTGAAGCTCAGCACTCAAACAGCTGGACTGACTTTGATCTCACGTGCAGCTGCAGGGGAAACGTGACCCAGTCTGGTCCCCGTTAGAACTGATGCAAACTCTGAGTGCGACTTTGGGACAGATGCAGAATAAACAATAAATCAAATAACACAACTCTAGTTTAAGTCAGATCTCCTCAAAGCAAGTAGCAAAAGGTGACTTTACTCCAGTCACTCCATTGTTTATTATGTAGAAACCTAAATCAGGTGAGGCAAGTTTATGTGTATAGCACAGTTCCTACACAAATCAACTCAAACTAATCAACACATCAAAATCACACAAGGCATTAAAATGATAAATAATCACATTACATTTAAAAGAGTGAAGATACAATCTTTCAGTTGTTTGCACATCTAAACAGAACTGTTCAAACATGGATTTGAACATTGTCAGAGTAGAAGCCTGTCTCACATTTTCAGGAAGACTGTTCCAGATTTTAGTAGCATACATTTGAAGCGCTGCCTGCAGGAGGCCAGTTACGACATTGCTGTGGATGTCTGCTGGCTTAATTATCCATCCATCCATTTTCTTCCGCTTTACCCATTGCGGTCGCGGGGGCAGCACTCTAAGCAGAGACACCCAGACTTCCCGCTCCACAAACACTTCCTCCAGCTCATCCTGAGGAATCCTGAAGCGTTCCCAGGCCAGCAGAGATATACAGTCCCTCTAGGCTGTCCTGGATCTTCCTCTGGTCTCCTCACTCCATCTCTAAGGGAGTGTCCAGTCACTCTGCGGAGGAAACTCTCGCAATGAGCTGTAAAGTCTATATCTCCTGAAAGTGAAAGTTTCTCTTTGTTTCCCTTTTTGAATAGACTTCAGCTCCACATTCCTAGTTCTCTTCGGCTCATTTTCTGTACTGTAGTGGTGTCTCTATTAGTAGAAGATGATTGATCGTGAAGACACTGCTCATTATAAACATGTGCTTCCTTTGGAAAACACTGTCATTTTTCGTTCACTCTTGTTGGGCCTTTGTTCTGTGAGTCTTTGATGTGAGCTGTTAGTGAGCGCTTTCAACATTCTAGCTCTGACCGTTCTGAAGAGAGCAAGATGTCTTCAATCAAGAAACAAAACTGGTATTGGGTGAAGACATGATATATGGGGGAGGAAAGAAACTCAGAAAGCTACTGACAAATATTCACGTTTTCAGAATCAGAATTGATTTAATTGTCATTGTAACTAACAGGAAGTCACAAAGTAGGAATTATCTTCAGCGACCCGTAGTAAACACCAAACTGTGATTGATTACACCATATAAAACCAATTTTAGTGTTGAGTGGAGCTTCTCAGCTAAAACGTCCCGCTTCTATTCCACCTCCAGTTTGCATGCTCTCCCCGTGTCTGCGTAGGTTTCTTCCAGGTTTTCTGGCTTCCCTTAACCACTAAAAGCATGTACAATAGCTCCCCTCTCTCTGGAGCCAGGACTCCCCTGAAAAAGAGATTCTAGAATCTTTGTGGGATTTCCAGGTAAAAGAAAAGTTAAGTAAGAAAAGTAAATACATAAAGGAATCATCTTACTTTTTTTTCTCTTTGCTGAATCTAAAAACTGGATGAAACTGCCTTTCTGATTGGCCAGAATTATCCAATAGGGTGAATTAACCTTTTACCTTTTATTCCTAAAAAGTAGTTTATGCTTTCCACTATTGTGTACTGTAGCTCTGAAGCTAAGCAGTACAGGGCCTGGTTAGTACAGTGATGGAAACCTCTGGGAACACCAGGTCCAAAGTGTCCTTAGGCAAGACACTTTACCCACATGCCTGTAATGAGTCTGGTGTGTGTGTGAATGGTTGATGGTGGTCAGAGGGGTTGATGGCACAGAATGGTTGCCTCTCTTCTGTCAGTGTGCCCCAGGGCAGCTGGGTCCACAGCAGTCGTTTATCACAACTGTATATGGAGTGAATGAATAATGATTCTTTGAGAGTCCAGAATTAATAAAACCAATGCTGATTATCATTATTATTATTTGTTGTGACATTCACGCTTGATACACACTGTCACCAAATAGCGCTGCCTGGATTGATGCAGCAATCCATCCATCCATCCAATTTATACCCCTTAATCTATTTCTGAGTCGGGGGGGGGTGGCTAGAGATGCCACCCAGTACACATAGCACCAGCCCCTCACTGATCCTCCTGCAGGTGGTGAGTCCACAGGAGCCTTGATCTTTCAGCAGAGGCTTCAGGCAAAGTGGCGTTAAGTGTCTTGCCCAAGGACACAACGACAGCAGTCATCTGTGGGAGTCGGTGGAGGTCTCATGATGGGCTCAAACCCACGACCTTCAGGCTCAAAGGCTAATACTCTACCAACTGAGACACTGTCGCCCCTGATTCAGCAATACGTAGTATCAGAAAAATCACTATTTCATGATTGAATACGGCTGTTGGGGAGCAAGAATGTTGGAATTATTTAGTAGTAGAGGACTTTCAATGGATTTAAATACAAGAGTTGTTTATTATTCTAGTGTTTTTGGGTTGTGAAGTGTGGATCTGCTGACCCCGGAGCTGACGGCAGTGAGAACATCCTTGAATAAACCTTGTCTTTGTCAGATCCAAATGTAATTTAGCTGGTATGTAAGATACACTGTTAGTCGCACGTATGGCTCGCTGCTGGGACTGGGAGACAATTAGGAAAATAGAGCCTTTATTATTTAAGTCCTCCAGTCAATTAACTAAAACACAAAGTTAACCGTAGCTGTATGTACGCAGGACGGTGACCATGGTGATAATGTATTTATGTAGCACAGTTTCTGAGCCTCAGACTCCCAAACAATGAAGCCTGTTGGTGCTGATTGTGATGTGAACAGAAGTAAATTATACAAGCTTTGAGCCCTCAAGAAAAGTATTTTAATCTATCCATGTCATAAAGGATTTCTACAATAAGGGAATTATCATACAGTATGTACCTGTTTTGACTGCATCTCATCACTTATTTTTGTTATTTCTTTTCACATTGGATTGTTCAGTCAGGGGGGTTAGCTTGGACCCATGGGTGCCCCCCTCATGGAAAGGACATCAAGAACATTTATCCCAACAGATAACTAACAAATGATTACTGTGACGTTTTAGCGTATACAGTAACTATAAGAGTTCTCAAAAACAACATGCTTTCCACAATTATTACAGTCCACTGAAACATAGAAAATTAGAATATCTTTCAAAAATGAATGTATTTCTGAACTGAAAATTTGAAACGAATTGTGATGATTATGGCTTACAGTCCATTCCATTCATGCACCAGGGTACACAGACTCTGGGGGCGAGGCGGGTCGACTGTCTTGACCAAGGACACACGAAAGCATTCACCCAAGGGAGCGTTCATACATTTAACATTTTCATAGAGAGGACTCAATTTAGGGTTGTTGCATTCAAAATACGCACTTTCTAAACACATTTCATGCTTCATCACCACACTATGTAGGGTTACATCATACTCTATACCTATTAAATAAAAACAATTAAGAATAACATTTAAAAGGTACTCAGATGAATATTGTACTGAAGATGGAAATGACATCTAGAGATTGTTAAGATCAAGAGCATTAATATTATGAATGCACTAATATGTGTATTTGTCTCCATAACAAGCTTGTGATCATTTGTAGGTTTCAGAACGAAAAGGTATTATATGGTCACCTTTTGCTACTTGCTTTGTGGAGATCTGACTACTATAACAAAGCTGCTGTTATAGTTGTGTCTTGGTGTTT